AGAAGCAGAAGCAGTTTTGACTTTTCTTCTTACCAAAAATACCCTTAACAAAATATAGTATATACCAAAAATACCGTTAAACCTAATACTTAGGATATTAATGTATAAATATTTCTTATTATTTTTAGGATAATTTTTTAATATATAGTGACTTTAGGGGTGAATGATTTTATATTTGTTGAATGATTTTTAATATATTTAACTTATATTAAAAGAATTAAGTACTTTTAAATTTTATTTTCATATTTTACTTAAATAAAATGAAAAAATTTAATTATTGCCTATAATAATAATTTTTTAAGAATATTTATTTACTTATAATATTAACTATTAAGTAAATCTATTCATGTCCTTATTCGTAATTTGATACTTAAAAACACTTTCTGAAAAGCATGTCAAACACAAATTATTGCTCAAAAGTGCTTTTTAGAGTGATTAGCCAAACACAAACTGCTTATCTTCAAAAGTATTTTTTTCAAAAGCACTTTTGGAAAAAATACTTCTCAAAATAACATGATTTCTCCAGCTTGGCCAAACAAGCTATTAGCTGCTAAGAGAGGCGTTAAGGGGAAAGAAGACGTTAGAGAGACGTTAAGCTCATGTTGTCTTATTTTTTGATTCATTTAATTTCATCTTATCTTATGAAAAATGACAAAAGATATTTTCTCTTACATATTTCATTGAGAAGACCATAAAAAGGCATTTTGAAGAACCTTTAAAAAAAAAAAAGAAAAATAGAAATTTGATATATTCTAAATATATATCTATAGATCTTTTTTTGGGGAAAAGGAACAAAACATGTCTTTTAAATACGTGTTAGTTTGCTTATTTTTGTTATAATGTAATTTTTAAAAAACAAAGTAAATTTGAAAGTAATTTTAACTTTTTCATATAATTGTAGATTTGCTAAGTTTAATTTTCAAATTCTAATCAAATAGTTATTTAGATTTTATTTTATTTAGATTCTATTTTAACTTCACCACCTACTACTTCAAATCCACAAGTACTTAATACATAAAATGCACCCACTTATTGGAACATTTTCCTATTCAAAATTTTACTTTTACTTTTCTAAATTTTAATGTAATAGTTAAGAGAAGATATTATTCTTACAACAGATAATCAAAGGTACATTGCACATTACAAGCTTGAATATTACTACTAATGTAAGCATAAATGTTGAATTTGGTCACATGAATAATGTTTTTAATGGAAAAATGATATATATTTTTTTTAAATCCCTCCCAGATTAGGAGGATCTATAGTGTTCCACACTTCCCCTCTAGCGTGATTCGAACCCAGAATCTAACGGTCGTAGGTGAATGTGCTTTTACCAAGAGCAAGTCTTACTTGTCAACAATGATATATTCGATTAGATGATGCTTTTACTAAGAGTTGATTGTCCTTACAAGTAATTGATACATTTTCAACGGAAAAAGAAATGTTATTAATTTTGAAAAAAGTAAATATTATCATGATAAAAAACTATAGAGGCATTCTGATTGGAGGTATAGTTAGAGGTGGATCCTCTATTTGTATTAGAAATTCATTAATAAGTATAAATATTTAATCGCGAACCCAGTAACTAAGACGCAATATGAGTTTGGTGGCCAGTTTAGACCCATAAACTTCAAATCATAGCTTCGCCTCTGGGTATAGTAGGAAAAAATAAACACAAAACAAAATTTCGTTATTACTTTTCATGTGTTTGGTTGATATTTTAATTCCAGCATAACTTATACCTTACTTTATCAATAAATGACTTATAAGAATTTTATATTTTATCGATATAAAATTATTAGGAAGCTTACGTTGTGAATTGAATTCCTAACTTCTATTGATATAATCTTTTCGGTAGTTGATATATATCTAATTGTAATGACGATATTACTGAAATAAATAATTTTGTACTACTAGTGGATAAGGTTCATTGAAGAATATGAATATGCGTTAAATATCATCTTAGAACTTGAAAACCATGGTAAAGAACCTATTTGGTCAGTGATATTCATTTTATCTAAACTAAATATTATGGTTACGACGTTGAATACTTAAATACAGATGGACAAAAAATAGAATCAAAGGTCTAAACAATCAGGCAAAGAAAGCGCTAAAAACGGAAAGAACCATTACTAGTATAATACTACCTCCGTCTCAAAGTCGCAATTTCTAAAAATAATCGTCTCAAATTATTTGTTATTTTAGAATTTCAAAAGTAAATTTTTTTTTCTTTCTATTCTACCCTTAATTATTTTTGTGGAGTATAAATATCTTAATTATGAGTAAGTATTAATTGACAAGAGATTATTTCTTAAGTAGAATAGTTAAAAATATTTTTTATTTAATAATTTCTTTGTTTGTTTAATTTTAAAGGTTGACTAAAAACAGAACAGTTGAGAACGGACAAAGCCAACCGTGGACGGACGAAATCCCAGGAACCCAATCCCAGAAGAAACGACTGTTTACCTCAATCAAACCAAAGATCCTCTACAACTACGCCCCTTCTTCCAAATTTCGAATCTCATCATTATTACTCTTCCCTCCCCTAGATTTCCTCAATCTCAATCTTCCCATGTAACCCATTTACTGTATCATACGGTACCTCCCTCATTTATTTAATACCCCATACCCGACCAAAAAAAAAAAAGCAATCACCGTGTAGAAGAAATCGGCGATCTATTTCTGGTTTCAGGTTGAATATCGTCGATGAAACGGCACTGGGTGATCCTGGTCTGTATTTTGCTGTTATTTTTTGGCTTTACGGGCTTGGCGAGTGAGTTATTGAGCTTGCCCAGTAGTTCAATTGAGGGAATTTCCGATGAGGTTACGCTAGCTCCGGCGAGGAGGAATCTGTTGTCAGAGTTGAGGTTAGTTTCTGTTCTTGCTATTTTGAGAATTTCATATTCTACTCATTTGGATTTGTTGCTGGTATGGTATGGTAATTATTTTAGTAAATTGTGCAAAGATATAGGGATTCTTGGAGCTTCTGTAGAAAATTCTTAGCTACTCCATCATTTTATTTTATTAAAATTTAGAAATGACACAAGATTTCAGCTTTATTATTGTTTCTGGAGGATCTTTTCATGTTTTAATTTCATTTTCTACTGATGCATAGTTTGGTATTTTGGTTCAAATTATCCCTTCAATTGCTTTTTACATGTTTTCTTGTGCTTCTTGAAAGTAAAAGAATTTGATCATCATTAAATATGCTCCAATTCTACTTAGGGTGTGTTTGGTATGAAAGAAATGTTTTTCTGGAAAATAAGTGATTTTCTTACTTATTTATGGTGTTTGGTAAGTGAGCTGAAAATATTGTCCCAAAAGCATTTCTTCTATATAATATTCTACCAACAATATGAGGGTGGCGAAGGGTAGGGGGTGGGGGTCAGAGTGGGNAATCCCACTTATGGAACTTGTTTTCCTTACTCCCATCAGGCGGCTTCCCTGATTTTTAAGGGACTTGTTGTCCAGAACATTTTGACCAACCAAACATGGGAAATTTGGAAAACATTTTCTAACTCCATACCAATCACACTCTTGACTGTATAGAACTTGTTTGCTAATTTTGGCATCACGTCAGCTAACCCATATTTCAGTCAAGATTTGTCCTTAGTTCGTGTTTTATTCAAACAGATATGTTATTCTAGTTTTCTCATACATCCGAACTAGAAGGTAAAGAGTTTTATGCTCCTTTTTTTGGCCATCAGGAAAATGGATGCTTGTTCATCCCGACTTTCTTTGGTTTGCATTGCTCTATGTTCGAGAACCAAGCCAACTACAACCGTAACAATTTCAGGATGTCTGGTCTTGAAATTACAACATACTCTTGGAGGAGATCAGTTTCTATAAAAAACAGAATCCTACTATTTGGTTATTAGTTTATGTCTTCCCCTGTAACTTACAATCTAATATGTGGAAAATGGTGCTTTTTATGAGCGATGGGATAGTATCTATTGAGAATCAGTAGTTATGGATCATATGTTTCGCTATGTATAATGCTTGATGCATACTTGACTTCTCGAAAAACGAACAGGATCTAGGAGAAAAGAACACTGACATTTCTGCTTACTTCTTGAACCCAGAAACATTCTAGTTGATGTCTTTGAAGGTAAATCAACTTATTTTTTGCAAACTGGACCCACGAGCTGTAAACTAGACTCTCTTTGGATATAATAAACTAAAATCCTTTTAATTTTTTGTTCCCTTTTCCCTTTCTATGTTCACTTTCTGTCATGCTGGTAACTTTATGTCTTTAGTATGCTTTCTGATTCATTAATTTTTTTTTGGGTTTTCTGCTTTGCTACACTTTCCTGAACCAGGAAACCTGAGACAGCACTGGTTGCTGAACTGGATGGTACTGTTCATTTACGGGAGGTTAAAACTGAGAAAACACTCTGGTCATTTAGATCTGGCCCATCAATCTACTCTTCTTATCAGGCTCCTATAAACTATAATGACAACAGGGAGGCATCATCTGATATAGGAAGTGGTTATTTCATTGACTGCCGTGGGGATGATTGGGAATTGTATGCGCACAACAGGCTTGGCAAATTGGTATTGTCTCTAAATTTCATATTCAACGAGTCTTTTCATTATTCTACATAGATTACACTTGCAATTTTGGTGCTATATAACAAGAGATGATATCCACTTAACATTGAATGATAATGAGACATGATACATCAATTAATGCAGTACTACCTCCGGTCCATTTTTAATATCATTTTAGCCAAAAATAAAATTGGTCCGAAATAAGTGTTGCTTTTAGGAAACCAAGAAGGCATTAACTTCTTTTCCAAACCTATCCTCTCTTTAATAAATGATCTATAAAAATTTCTAAAACGGTATAATTATTATTCACTTTGAGGAGAGAAAGACTGTAATTTAGTCAAATAACCTTATAACTAATGCCATTAAATGGTCTTCTTAGTGAGTATGCCAAAACTTTAAATGACAATTAAAACGGACCGGAGGTACTATTAACAACTAGACCTTGATCTAGGCTAACAAAGTGAAATGAACACTCCCCTAGTTTGAAACGTATTCTAAACTCCCCTTTTTACCATCATGAAGCTGTTAATTTTGAGCATGATTTGACCAATATACCCTCATATCCCATATTGGTTGATTGAGGACAGCTTTGGAAATGATTTGGTTAATTTTGAGCATGATTTGACCAATATACCCTCATATCTATATATTGGTTGATTGAGGACAACTTTGGAATTGATTTAGCTACTTAAAAAGTGTATAAAAGAAATATATGTGGAAAAAAAGAAGAAAAGGAATAGCGACCGAGGGGCTGGTATTTGGGTATTGGGTTTGAACTGGGGACCTAGAAGAGGAAAGGAAAGAGACAATGGTGCTTGGCTTTTTGGAGGGGGGGAGGGGAGTTGCAGGGGGAAAGGAGCTGTTTGCTGTTGTTAAGTTTTGATGTTTCCAGAATCTATTTTGCTGGCTTAGAAGGAATTCTGTAATTAACATTTATGATTTCATTAACTTATTGGATTCTGCTTTTGTGTAGTTTCTGTTAGAGTCCTGATCCTTGTAAACTTTTGGTACCTTCTTGGTACTGTTTCTTCTTATAAAGTACTTAAACTTATCAAAAAGATGAGAGGCGGACTGAAGTTGTGGGGGTGGGGAAGGGTGGGATGGAAGAAGGGAGTGACATAGTGGAGGCAAGGGCAGATAGGGGAACAGAATGATGTTTGTGAGTGACGGGACGATGCGAAGGTGCAATAAGAGTACGCTGACAACTGAGGAGTTGAGTTGAGAGAAAAAAGAAAATTGCACTTGGTGAGGGGAGGGTTTGAGGGGGTGTGACGGGAGGGACAGTGGGAGATAAGGTACGTTGGAGGTACTTTATTGTTAGAGAAATGAGTAATTTATTCAGCTTGCTGACTAAGATTCACTTTTATAACGACAAGCATGTTTGGAAGTAAGAGACTAACATCTTGAAATCCTTCCTATACTTCCTATTCATCCGCCTATAGCATCTAATTTATTGCTCCATATTTTTGTACAGAAACTTATGAAAAATATTGATGAGTATATTAGTTCAACTCCACAAATAGCTGAGGATGGCGGGATTGTTCTGGGATCTAAAAGAACTACTGCATTTCTGGTTGATGCTAAGACTGGTCGCCTGATTTATACATATAGGATGCCTGACTCTCCAGCAACTCACGACAATGGCATTGCCTTTCATCATAATGGTACCATTGATGAAGAGAGTCTGCCCACATACACGCTTTACATCACCAGAACAGACTATGCATTGACATCTTTTATTCCAAACTCAGACCAAGTGTTGTGGAACATGACGGTTGCTGAAATAGGGGCTGCTTCTCTTTGCAAAGACATCGAGGATCCATTTAGTGGGGATATTCTGGATTCTGAAAGATCTGAACCTGACGTACATTTCGATATGCCATTGCCATGTCAGTCAAGGGCCCTTATCCACAGACGTCGAAGTCAGCAGGAGAAGATGCTCCCGGGTGCTCATCGTCCAGAGCTCCCCTCATCAGAGCCAAATGTTGATAATGCAGCTAATGCAGACACATCCCATTTGGAATATTTTATAAAAAGGACTATGTTTGGCATATTGGTGGTGCTCATACTTTTAATCATCAAAAAGAAAAATTCCGAAGATGTTAAAAAGCCATTTAAAGAAGGAATAATCAAGTCTTCTGAAAGATTGAGCATGCCAGTTCGCAATATTTTAGCCACTCTTGTGGGAGCTTTAACACGCAATCGTTATTCAGGGGCTGAAGTCAAGTTGGTTAGACAGCCCGGCAACTCACATTCACCAAATGTACCTTCAAAAAGGAAAAAGTCTCGGAAGTCTGGAAAGAATGGGAGCAATGGTGAGAAAAGTGATAAAGGCCCCTCATCTGATGGTGGACTTCAATATGCAGACGTGGATGCTGATAATAAACTGTTGCTGAACCTTATTCAACCAAGTATATGTGGCAAAGGTGGACGCACTATCGGTAAGTTGTTTGTCTCCAGTACAGAGATTGCTAAAGGGAGCAATGGCACAGTTGTCCTTGAAGGAATTTATGAAGGTCGTGCAGTTGCTGTGAAAAGACTTGTCCGGGCACATTATGATATCGCCTTCAAAGAGATAAAGAATCTTATTGCATCTGATCGACATCCAAATATTGTTCGGTGGTATGGTGTGGAACAAGACCAAGATTTTGTTTATCTTGCACTGGAACGCTGCATTTGCAGCTTGAGTGACCTTATTCAGATTTATGCCGACACTACAGTAAATGCACGTCTTAACCAGAACTTGGATGCAGAATCTACTAACCGTAGAATTCATTTGGATTATTTGAACGGTATTATGTTGGATACTGAGTTAAGGAAAGAAAATGGTTTTCCTTCACCTTTGTTGCTCAAATTGATGAGGTTCGTGAAATTATTTCTTAATGAATCTGATTTTGTGCCTCTAATTCGTGGTATGAGGTGGGTTACTCTGCAACCCATTAGATGGTGACTTGAAGAAAGGATGAACTTACTTCACAAGGAAGGGTGCTCTTTTTATTCTTTCCTTTTGTGTTGCATAACATTCATACACAGGAGAGAGAGATAGAGATTTTTTTTACATTATCACATGTTTTCTTAGTGATTAATTTATGTGGCATTATTTCAGGTCTTCTTGCCTGGTTAACTCCAAAAGAGCATTTGCTTCCTATGCTTGACTTGGCATCGGGTCTCTAGAAGTCCTTTTAGGGGAAGAACTAGGTGAACTTCACTTTGTTCAACTCTTGCTCCCGCCCACGGCGGGATAGAGCAAGACACTTTAACGAGAAAATTCTCATTCTTCTGACTCAAAATTTCTTGAGATAATGGCTTTATAATTAGCCTTAGCACTTTGCTCTTCATGGTTCTTAGGGTTTGGTGCCTTTTATTCGTGCTTTCTCATCTGTGTTCTCTTACAGTTTTACTACTTTCTGCCTTTTTGAACTGCCCGGTTTAATAGGTTATCTGCTACAAGATTTACCCCCTCTCTGCAGTTGGGAAAAGAAGGGCCCTGTATGACTGCTCCGTCCTTTATCAAACCTATAAAAGTTTTCTGCATCTTGCATTTCTAGACCGTCATCTTACAAAGACAAACTGCTGTTTGGTTAATGAGCGCGTAGAATTATATTTCTGTTTCCGTACATAAAAGTTGTAATCAGTGCCTTTGTAGTGGATTTGAACATAAAATTGGACCAATTTTCTTGTCTCTTTTAATTCCATAAAATTTTCTGAACTGCAATTTGACTGGGTATGGCACACTTTTGGTGTTCTGATTTCTTCCTGGAGGACAGGGATGTGGTCTCTGGTCTTGTGCATCTTCATGATTTGGGGATCATTCATCGAGACCTGAAGCCCCCAAATGTTCTGATAACTAAGGAAAGATTCTTAGGTGCTAAGCTTTCTGATATGGGAATTAGCAAGCGCCTCATCGGAGATATGTCTTCATTGGGTCATCACGCGACAGGCAAGTAGTTATAAAGTAGTTTTACATTAGCTGGTAGTGCATGATAAACTTTTGTTCAGTACCATCACCATTTAGTATGCTCTGTTATCAATTAATTTGCATGACATACTGAGTATTGTTATGCGTCCATGACACACTTTGTTGTCGTCCTTGCTGCTTACTGGAGAAGATTGTTTGACCGATAGTTGAGGTCATTCTCACACTAGGCTCTTCTTTTGGAGCCTCTGAGCTTTTAAATGTTCTACGAGCACTGCTCCTGCTTGCCTGAGCATCTTGTCTTTAACTTTTGTTGTTTGGATTTCCATTCTTCTTACTTGCGATGAATTTTACAGGTTATGGAAGTTCGGGTTGGCAAGCTCCTGAACAGCTTCTTCATGGACGTCAAACACGCGCTGTTGATATGTTCAGTCTGGGGTGTGTTCTGTTTTTCTGCGTGACTGATGGTAGTCATCCCTTTGGAAGCCCTCTTGAGCGTGACATTAACATTACAAAGAACAAAATTGATCTTTTCTTGGTGGAACACATCCCTGAAGCTGTGGATCTCTTTTCTCATTTATTAGACCCCAATGCTGAGTTGAGGTAATAAGTGAAAATGTTTATTTTCAGTTTATATACTAACAAGTCTATCATTTAGTGCATGTAGCAAATAATTTTGGACAGAGTCGCTTATTGGCCATAGACATCCTTGTAGCCAGTTACGGCAAATAATTTTGGACAGAGTCACTTATTGGCCATAGACATCCTTGTAGCCAGTTACGCATGAAATTCTCTTTGAATTGCATTATTACCTTCTTACTCCAATAATGTTTATGGAGATGGCTATACCCTTCTTTATCTCGCTTAATAATTGCAGCTGCTGAACGGTTATTTTCAAAGTTTAACCAGTATTTTATGCTTATTCATAAAAAACAAGAAGGCTTACAGATTATGACAATCTGGGTGTACTTTTCAAGGTTTAGCTAAATACAATTTTCAGCTCAATTTAGTAAAGTAATGTTGCTTGGTAAGTCCTGAACCACTTGACATTTTAAGTAGGCTGTGTAATTTTTCCTTCGTAGCTGTTCAGAGACGCAAAAAATCTTAACCACTTGGAGAGCTCAAACTTCCTCTGAAAGCTTAGACTGTTTTGAAATCCTAAGAAACTTCCTAATTGAATTATTTCTTGCTGTTTGAACGAAAGAACTATTTGTTGCAATGATTGGTAAACTTCACCAGAAGAGTATCTGATGGAGCAAAGAACATGCAAAAGTTTTGATCAGTAAAAGCATGTTTGTTTATAGTATAGTGACTATGCTCTTATGAAATTGAGAAAAATATAGCTTTTGGGTTCTCAACGTCATGTTAAACTTGAAACAGACATCACGAGAGAGACCAAATTTATGAGGATATATCAAGATTTCTGCATATGGTTTTCAATCAATAAACATTTAACATTGTATTGGAAAAACTGACCATAGTGATCTCATGGATAAAGCGCCTGTTGTAATAGTAGATATACTAAGTGCAATTGCATTTGCTAAACTCTTGTTTTTTCCCTTAATTTTGTTTGTCCAAGACCGAAGGCTGTGGACGTGCTTGCTCATCCTTTCTTTTGGACATCTGAGATACGATTGTCATTTCTTCGTGACTCAAGCGACAGGGTGGAACTCGAAGACAGGGAGACTTCTTCTGATCTCCTGAAAGCATTGGAAGGTACAGCACCAGTTGCTTTGGGTGGAAAATGGGATGAGAAGATGGAATCTCCGTTCATCAACAATATTGGTCGTTACAGGCGATATAAGTTCGACAGTGTTCGTGATTTGCTGCGAGTCATGCGCAACAAGCTAAATCATTACAGAGAGCTTCCCACCGAAATTCAGGTTAGTTCTGATAAATCTATATACTCTTGTCATTATTCGAAGGATTGTTGTATACTTAAAATTTGGGCAAGAACCTCCTTTGAGAATTTAATTAATGTTGATTTCAGATTGTATTTGGGTTCCAGGTTTTTCAGGGTTTGAGAAACGTTGACAGGTTATTTATTATTGGAGAGAAAGTAGTTGTCCCGGGAAATCTCTTAGGTCTTTCTCCAATTAAAAGAAAAAGGAAAGAAAGAAAAAAAAATAAAATAATTTCATCATAGCATTATTTTATTAGGCGATATTGTTCCATGGGGAGTTGGTAGTGGTAAATACTGAATCATTACATATATATTCAGAAAGCTTTATTACTTTAGAGTTTATACCGATATGAAATTCCTTAGATTTTCAAATATTTTCTTCTGATTTAATACCTTTTTATTGGCTGACATCCCATTGTCTCTCACCTTCATTTCAGGAAATTTTAGGAACTGTACCAGAAGGATTTGATGGCTATTTTAAGAGTCGGTTTCCCAAATTACTAATTGAAGTGTATAAAGTGATGTCAGATTACTGTAGGAATGAAGACTGTTTCCAGAAGTACTTCACAAGCAGTGTACTCTAAGACTCCTCCAAATAGCGACTGAATCTTGTTCAATACTTGAATGTATGATGTCAACATGTAATGTAGTCTATATATGTAAATATGATCAACCTATATATATTCTTATTAAAGTGTATATTTATGTCGACCAACATATCTCTTCTTCCTTTCTTAATGCTCAAAGTTATTTTTCGTTGTTCAGCGATTGCACAGAATTGATTGTTTTATTGATGTGATAGATGTAGATGCTTTCTTTTCTTCTCCGCTACGCTATTTGGAAATACTTATGTCATCATACTATATTATAAGTATAAAGACTCAAACTAAAACTTAAAAGATCGAAATAACTTTATAAAGTTGAATGACTGTAATACCCTTCAACATAATATTATTTCAGATATAAATTTGTACAAAAATGTAAAGATACATTCTAAGAAATTAATTAAAAAAAAATATTTAAATTGAAATAAAGACAGCCCTTTGACCTTCACCATTAAAAAGAATCTTCCTATTAAATGTTAAATAATAGTACAGTTACATGAATGTGGTTAATTGGGCATCTTATTAAATGATGAATTATAACAACACATTAATTTGTTGTTTATTTTGTAAACCATAAAGTTTAAACGTTAATTCCCTTATATTTTCTATTTGTTTTTGCTGCTAAATAATGAGCTAATAAGGATCATTTATATCATTTGCTGGTTTATTGGTTAGCTTTCATTTGTCAAAAATTAATTTCTTCTAACTTTATATGCATGTATTACCATTTAAGAGCTAGCTTTTACAATTCCATAACCGGTTTACAGAAAAAGCATATTAGCAAACATAATTACATTAACTAATGTTCTCTTCATTGCTATTAAATATTTAGAGAATTTGAGGAGTTGCTTTGAATATTTTGTTTGCCTAATTTCGTTCACCAACTTACTTCTTTGCACTACGTCTCTCATTTTCTTTCTAAATTTTATTCATTCAAGATGATTTTCGGTTCAAGTTTTGATAGAATTTTCTCACTCTTTTCTTCTCTTCCTCTTATTTCTATTTTCAAATTTTAATTTGAAATTATGTGATATTATTTTTCCTAATTTTGTTTCCCTACTTCTACAGAAGCATTGAGCAAAAGACGAGCCAAAGCATTTAGCTCCAACGCCAAGCAGAAACGTCAAACACTCAAAAACATATTTCTCCAGTGAATTGCAAGAGATTTAACTATTTGTGAGCAATCCATACTATTCTACAAAAGGTAAAAATGAGTTTCATGTTTTGAGAAGCAAATCCAATTCCTGCAGTGCATCACGAGTTATATATTTACGAATTACAATGATTGTTCTATTAAATTTTTCAAGATATAATACTGAAAGTTTCTTAATAAATTGAGAGGATCATTTCGAAGTAAGATAACTTGAACTCCTAGAAAATACATGTCTTTATGAATGATTATATTACCGATAAAAGTTTTATGATATTTTATCTTTTTATTTTGGTTTATCAAAATCACTTTGCTCCTCCCTAAAAGGAAGCATTAGGAACGCGAATTGGGCAATTTTGGTCCTCTTCAGTGCTCAGAGTGACGGTGTGAACTTGAGAAATCTAATACTTCCTCACTCTCGGACTCGGTTGGAAGTCGAATGCAAAATTTATTTTGCGTCTTTAATTTTATAAATTTCCTATTCAATTATCGTTTGAGTAAGCTAGATAGGATCATATTTATAAATTTTTAATAATTTAAACTTTTATTTTTAATTTTATTTTCTAACTCAAATATTCTTTTAATTTTATACTCATCAATATAGGTTACACGCGCAACACGCGTGCCTAAAAACTAGTAAAAATAAAAAAAATAAGATCACCTTCCCCCCCTCTTTTGGGGTCTATAACCTGAGAGCTGGACAGTGCGGCCACGTGGATTGCCAGGGGCTTCTTCGGCTAATGAGACCTCAATCTTGAAGCTTCTGAAGTATCTTGTTGATAGGTGCCTCTATTTTTATGGAGAATTCACGACAAGAGCAAAAAAGTGCCCTTGTCTTTAACAACCCCCCCCAAAAAAAAAAAAAAACTTCCCCCCATGGGCGAGTAGTAGCAGTACATGTCAAACTAGAAAACACTATAGGTAGGGTGGCAGAACTAGTGCTCGAAAATTGCTTTCCCTTGCATGAATCTGGTGGCCAAATCAATGAGCTTAACATTGCACTTGTCATAATCAATATTGAGCTAAAAGCTTTTTAGGAAATGACAGATGTATATATACACATGAGGATCAGCAGGATTCTGAGGTTGCATGGCTATTTTTCTAATGACAACGGACACTTTGTAAAATATAATAGCAGTTCATTCGACCTATATAATTACATTTGAGGAAGACTAGTACACATTGTTGGGAACTACACAGATTCTCCAAAACTTACAACCCTGTTTGAGTATATCTCAGAACGGTCAATCCTTGAACCATTTACTGATGCATCTTGATCAACACTTCTAACTGAAGTCGCGTCCAGTTGCCTTCGTTTGGACCTAGACCTCACTGACTCTTCCTTTTCGTCAGCAAAAGAAAGGAATGTCTGGAGTCGTCCTGATCGCGAGCTTCCCCCAGAGGACTCAGACTCAGGATAATAGTGGCAATATTGGCATGTTATCATCACAAAATATATGAGCAGTGCTAGAAAACATGCTAAACCACATAGGAAGAATAAACCTGAGAAGCTTTTCAGCTGAAGCCTGTCCACTTCAAGCTTTGTATTCTGTGAAGTACAAGCAATTCCAGAAAGCCATTTATCATGGATCCTTTGAAGTTCGCCATTCTCTGATAGTTTCAGAATTGCAGTGGACATGTCAACTGCTAGAGGAGAGTCCCTAGGGAAAGCCTAGGAGAAAACAAAGAAAATGGAGGACATTATTTTCAAATGTAGACAGATCAATGCATTAACCCTTCAAAACAAAATGGTTCTACATTGATTAGTTTGATGGAATAGGATGGAAAGGAAAGGTAGTTATAAACAACACAGTCCAGCCAAATACACAAACTTAACATCTTTTACTCTCCATTCTTTTCCTTTACGTTCTCATCGACTCCCTATGCTTTGAAGGTACCAAAAAAAAATATATATAAAAAAATACAAGCCTAGACAAGGACAACTTTTGTGTGAAGCAACCACCATGTAATGTCAAGAGTGAGATACTAATCTCCTCTCTTTCCGGATATCGAGCTAACAGTGGTATGATTCACCTTCAGAAGCATGTTTCAAGCAGAACCGTTCGTTATAAGTCTTGGGGTGGTAAACGGGTGGGGCGAAAACGGGTAACGCAAAACAGATAAATTATCCGACCGGACCCATATTTAATACGGATAAAATACGGGTTAACCGAAGGATAATAAAGATATCCATATCATCCATGACTTCTTGATTATGATCATTTTTGGGAGAATTCCTAGTCTCACAAACTTGAGGAACCCCCAATTTGAGATTTTACGAATGTAAAAGTTAAACCCATTGGTTATCCATTTTCTAAGCGGATAATATAGTTCTTATCCATATTTGACTTGTTTTTTAAAAGTTTATTATCCAACCATTTTTTAATAGATAATATGGGTGGATAACTGTTTTCTTTTAACCATTTTGCCACCACTAGACTTATAACTAAGGGACAATGGCAAAAAATCATGCATAAGTGAAAAGTATATTTTGTTGGCCTATTTGCAAGCTTTAGATGTAGAGACTTTCGACTTCTCATGCATTATCACATTCGTTAGTTGGTTAGGTTAAATTCACAGGATTCATAATTTCATCATCTCTTTATGTTGCTAATAATTTTTGATAAGCTGTTAGTATGGTCGATTGGTCATGGTGTGAGATAAATTCACAAAAAGCAGGTTCACTTGTATAAGAAAAAGATGAAGTTGACAGAAGGCTACTTACAAACCCCCATCCATTTTTCGTGAACTCTTGACCTAGAATACTGAACTGGCAACGTGTTGAGAGGAAAAGCTCCATATAGGCGCGCTCATCTACTATAGCTGCAACACCACCATGACTAGGACCATCTTTTAAAGCTTTAGCATAATCTTCGGGCATGTTAAGAGGAACAAGTCTAGATTCATGAATGCCAAGTTCTTCAATCAGATAGTTACGGGCAAATGAACCTAATTGATAACCGATGGGGTCCTTTGTATTTACTAAACTTTCAATTCCTGTAATTGGTGAAGAAAGCCTCTGCACTGTAAGAATTGAGGTGAGGCTGGCAGTGTAGCTCGAGTTGATTATCAAAACGACAAATAGCCATATAAGGAGGACAATGCGGCCAAGGGTGCTAACGGTGTTTTCTCCTGCATGCAAAAATTTATCTTTGTCAAAGGAAGCTCATTCAAATGCAAGTTTAGAAATAATTCAACTAGCATGAGTTACTTACTGTGGGCATTAAAGAGAGTTGAAAAGCTGAACCTGCAAAAAGAGTTTTACATAGGAAAAGGTCAAAACATTATTGTAGAAAGATAGATAGCAAAATTTAACATAAAGAATGTAACTGCCAAGTAGAAGACTAGATAATAGAAGAAAGTTCAGAGAGAGTAGAGAATATATGACAGACTTGTTCGTCAAGTTGATGTATGCTAATTTATTACTTAACTGCTATTGGAACAGAATAAAAGCTAAACTGCATATTTTTTCTCACAATCAAGATCCTGATATAATATGTACGTGCACAAGCAGTTGTCAACTCACCATAGAACAGTGACAACCTGCTTACTCGGAGGTCCACGAAAATCATCATTCAATCTGTGTTCCAAAATCCAAATTACAGTGCCAACAACTAAGAAAAAAACACCAGTGATAAACCACATCCTACGAGTAAATGGCCTGAGAAAAGCCCAAGCATTAGAATTCTGCTGCTTAACTGGTGCCACTACAACTAACCCAGATTCAATGTACGGTTGAGTGAAATCAACCATTTTTGTCCGATTAGTTGTAATTGCTATGTCGCCTATGGCAGCGTCATAAACCTGAAATGAAAGACCAAGTATACACAGTTAGAAAACACATGGCTAAATTGACACTAGAGTAGAACATTGGTAGTCTTATACTCACTCCTGCTGTGATTAAGCGCACTAGCTCTGTATCTTCTGGATTGTTATGGCCATCCCCAAAGGCAAGAAGCTTGTA